ACACGTGGCATGGACACGTGGCATCTGTCACGTGGCACAAAGAGGGTTTAGGTTCCGCTTCGTGGTGTTATCCTATGGTAAATCACCATAGGATAAAGGGTCAAAACCACGTGTGTTACAGAAACCAATCCGACGGCTACCAAAATCCACTACGCTAATATTAGTATACGGCATCGTAGCTGTACACTTGGCCCTCATAGATGAAAATATAACAGAAACAAAAACTTGCTCTATTAATTATTCTTTGAGTTACTGATTCTCCTACAAATGGAATTTTCTTCTAGCAAGACTATGGTAAAAGATCACCTCAAGCAAATCAATCACCTTTGTTTGGTTTACAAGCTCATTGTTCCATGTGAATTTGTGTGTGTGTGTTTTTTATATATATATATCTTTCTTGAAATGGAGCCACACCATAGCTCCAAGCTAACTAACATTCTCTCCCACATAGATTTACCAAGCTCTTCACATCCATGCAGTGATTGCCAGAAGAGACACTAGGAGAATACAAGCAGCTCGTGTTGTAACTCACCACTAAAGTGCCACAGCAGCTCTGGAGAAGGTGGCCAACCAACTGGAATGCGGGCCACAGATCAGTGGTCGGACCAATCATGCGTGGTAGTGGCTCGAGCGCACCAAGTAAGCCATTGGAGCACCGTGTTGCCAGGTCGACGATCTCCGCCTTGTTGCAGTCCCTCCCTTGCGCATCCGTGAGGAGAACAGCCAAGCTTGTGACAAAAAGAAGGGAGAACACACTCTTCATCTCCAAACTCTAGGTACTGCAATGCAATGCCAACAGGTGAGAGAAAATGTGAAATGAAGTAATGGTTTTTCTCAGACATGTGTCACACTGAGCACCATAGAAAAGGAACAAACAATGTGAGTGTTCAAAACAGAGAGAGAGAGAGAGAGTGATGATGAAGTTGAGGACGATGGTGATAGTTCTCGTGGTGGCTGCGGCACTGCTAAGCTATGGGTATGCCCGTGACGATCGCTCATGGTAAGAGTGTCTTAGCCACGGCTTCTGGATGCTCCAAGAGGATTGTCAAGACATTGCGCTCGCTTTCGTCCCAAAACCAGCGAGAGGTTTTCGGGAGCTTGAGAAGCGGCGTGTTGAACGAGTGCTGCTCGAGCCTCTTGCGATTTCCTCTGCCATGTCTGTGCAGCCAAGAGCTCCAGGAGGGCTGCGTCAATGTAACTAAGTTCGTGCCACTGTGGAAATCCTGTCACTAGCTTTCACTTGGCCTGTTCAAAATTAAAAAGGAACGAAAAAATGTGAAAGTTTTTTAGAAGGCTACAAAGGATCGAGAGGGATACGAGCAAGTAAGTCCAAGGTTGATAAAAATATTAACGTTACCTGTTTGCAGCTGATATCATCCCGATACAGGTGCTTAGAATCGTTCTCGCAAATACCTTAAGAAATCTCAAGGTCGGCTAAGCAGTCACTCTCAAATTTTTCGAGTCTGGACAATTTTGGGGCTCCACAAGAGCGGACAATTCATCAGGATAGAGGTGAAGGAACAAGTAAAAATGGCGACTTTGAAGAGTATGAAACACTGTTGCAAGGCGTCAGATTTGAGTTTAAAAACGAGTCAGGAGGTTCACAGATCCTACCTAGGAAAAGCACAAAATGCAGACTCTCGAGGAGTACCTTGGCAACGGTGTTCTCGCGGGAAGCAGTAAGATCTTCACCACAAATGGCTACGACGACGTCCACTCACTCAAGTCCATGACCAAGAACGATATGAAATCTCTGGGGCTCACTAAACAGCAGCAGGTAAGTACACGCATCAACAAAACTTTACTTGGCCTAGATGTCGTTGCAGAATGCCTTGGAGCTAAGAGCTTTCTTAGATGGTCACGGGCTTTTTGAGTACGCAGACGCCTTAGAGGCAACTAGAAAGACTTTGGCCGAGCTCCGCAGGGGCAGCTCGTCCGTCTTGAGCACCCGTTATGGCATGAAGAAGGGACACGCTTCTCGCTTCATGGAACAGGAGAGCCCTTTGGGTGATCCGAAATTCACTGCTGGAGGGTGTTACCTTTTCAATTTCACATGTTTATGCAATCCGTGAAATTCCCAGTTAGTTATCTGGGAGCTTGCTACATATTTAAGAACGAATGCTTACACTCGTCCTCTAGATCATCACCGCTTTTATAAACAATACGCTTCTCGCCGCTTTGGGCCACATCCTTGCCTGCAAAGTCGTAAAAGGTGAGTTTGGATTGGATCTAAACCGCACTCAGTACTCACTTATTTTTGTGTCTTTGGTTTTCGTCGGGCAATCCCTGCCTAGATGAGTGACCTCGCCGCATAACTTGCAGCATCCACCCTGAAACAGTCCCAGTGAAGTCAAGCAGCATTCACATACCTTTGGATAGATTCCACAAGTGTTTCTTGGACAATTCTGACCTTTCTTGCAGAGGAAACAATCTGCGAACGAAGTACCCCTTGGGAAACATAAAGAAAATATCCTTAAGAGGTTACGAACAATGACCTCCTGTTTCACCATAGCAAAACTGTCCTTGACATCTCCAGCTGGGCAATGCAGCCATGGCCGGTGGCTTCATTCCAGCACTCGAGCAATGCAAGTGTGAGAGGTGTCGCGCTCGTGCTGTCGCAGCTCAAGTCCTGTAGAGATATAGGCGAGGCAAGGAAAATCCATGCTAGTGTTATTGACAATGGTTTGGAAGACGATCTCTACGTTGCTAGCAGCCTTGTCACCGTCTACTCCAGGTGTGGCAGTCTCGTGGACGCCAGCAAAGTGTTCCACAAGATGAAGCACCGCGACGCCATTGCATGGAATGCGCTCATTCGAGCATATGCTGTGAGCGGGCATTTTTCCGAAAGAGCTCTGGAGCTTTTCCTTGCCATGGAAGCAGAATGCGTGGCGAATGGTCGCACTTTCGTCGCGGTTCTTAAGGCCGTCACGAGCCTTGCTGAGGAAGAAGGAGCAAATCCCTGGAAGATGACAAGCTTGGAGAGGGGAATGGCGATTCACGCTCGATCTCGAATGCAAAACCTCGTCTTGAGGGATTTTTACGTTGGAAGCAGCCTCATCGACATGTACTCCAAGTGTGGGAGCATGCAAGATGCGAGGCGAGCCTTCGAAGAGATGGAAACACTCGACGTGGTTTCATGGAACACACTGATGCTGGGATATGTTGACAACGATCAAGGTGAGATTGCTCTGGAGCTGTTTGAGTCCCTCGAGTCCAGCTCTCACGTTTCCTCGTGTGCAGCATCAAACTCTCGGACTTTCGTTGTAGCGCTGAAAGCTTGCTCAAACCTTGCGAGAAAGGAAGATGGATGTGAGCTCGGCGATGGAGAACTTGTCAAGGTGAAAAGTCTCGAGAAAGGCATGGCACTGCACTCAGAGGCTGCAAGGAGGAGGTTTGTGTCAGATGTTTATGTCGCCAATTGTGTGGTTGACATGTATTCCAAGTGTGGTAGCTTGGTGGACGCACGCACTGCCTTCGACAACATTCAAGAGCGTCTCCGGGACTGTGTTTCATGGAACACTATGCTTCTCGGGTATGTTGAAAGTGGTGAAGCCCACTTGGCTCTAGAGTTATACCAGGAGATGGTGTCTGGTGATCTGCAATGCAGGCCAGATCTTTGGACGTGCTCCTGTGCACTCAAGGCCTGTGCGATCCTTCCTTCATTGCAACTTGGAAAAACGATCCACCGCGAGATTCACAGGCGTGGATTTGAGCCTGACAGTGTCCTGCTCACTTGTTTGCTCGATCTCTACGGCAAATGTGGCAACATGGCTGCCGCTCAGCATGTTTTCGACTCCACGTCCTTGAAGAGGAACTTGGTAAGCTGGAATGCGCTACTGGAAGGTTATAGTCAAAAGGGAGACTCCACACTCGTGTTTGAAGAGTTTTATCAACTGATAGATGCAGGATTGAAGCCAGACAGTGCAACCTTCTTGTCCATTCTCGCTGTGTGCAACCACTGCGGCCTCGTCAAGGAGGGGAAGCTTTGGTTGCAGCTCATGTCTTCCTGGTATGAAGTCCGGCCAAGCACGGCTCATTACCATTGTGTCATTGATCTTCTTGCCAGGGCGGATGAGCTTGACGAGGCCATGATCATGATGGAAGAGATGCCTGTCGAAGCTGATAATATAACATGGAAAATTCTCTCGCAAACTAGCAATAAGATTGATCACGCACGGACGGAGTGCAAGCACGTCCACTCCAAAGTTCCGGGAAAAAATGGCATTGTGTGGATGAGCTCTCTGGCATCGTCCAAGTAGCCCGACCTGGCTAGAAGATCGACTAGACAGCAATAGTGCTGCCTCGTGGATTGGATCCCAAAGTCGCCCGCCATCGACAGAAAGTAGGACCTTGCGAGATCCAGCGAACCAACGTGGCTGCACGCGATCAGGAACGAAACAAAGCAAGCTTGGTCGATAGCATAGACGAGGTTTGCTGCGAAGAACATCTGAAATGCCTCAAGCATATGTCCGTTTACAGCATAAGCAGAGAGAAGCTGGCTGACTGAGATGAGATCGGTCTCGGGCATTTGGTCTAGCATCCTCGAAGCAAGTTCCAGGTTCCCGTCTTGGATCAAGGCACCCAAAGCCGTAGTCCATGAGATAATGTTTCGAGCCGGCATTTGGTGGAAGACGACGATCACATTAGAAACGTGGCTGTTTCGAGCGTATGATGCCAAGAGTGCGTTCCAAGAGACGAGATCCGGTTCTGGTATTCTGCGAAACAAGCTGTCGGTCTGCTCTGTCGAATCTCCACGGCTGTAAACCGAAAGAAGTGCGTTCCAGGTCACAGTGCTCCACTCAGGCATGGAGTCAAAGGTACACTTTGATAACTCCAGATGCCCGTCCCGAGCGTGAGCTGCTAGCAAAGAAGTCCAGGAGACAAGGTTAGTCTCTGGCATTTCCTTGAAGAGTTGAGATACTTGGTCAGACGAATGCAGCTGTGGTCCTTCTGCCAGCATTGTGTTCCACGAGGTCAAACTCCTCTCAGGCATTCTGGAGAAAGTTGCTAGAGCCAGTTCTATATGCCCGTTTTGGGCACAGGCAGCTAGGATAGCGTTCCAAGCAACAATGTCGTGTTCGGGCATCTCTTCAAAAACTTTTATGGCGCTCTTAACAGAGCCATTTTGCGCGTACGCCGTGAGCAACGCTGTCCAAGATACCATGTCGGTCTCAGGGGACTCGAGAAACATAAGTTTTGCGTCAAGCAAATGCCCATTCCGGGCATACGCAACCAGCATCGACGTCCAAGAGAAGAGATTTCTCAGGGGCATCATGTCAAAGACCTCCTTGGCTTCCTCCAAACGGTTGCTCTTGGCATACGCAGCTAACATAGCAGTCCAGGAGACAATGTCCCTGTATGGCATTCGAGTAAAAAGGAGTTTAGCCTCCTCTATATACCCGTTGTGGATATACCCGTAGAGCAGAAAGTGCCAGGAGAAGAAGTCCCGTTCTTTGAGGCTTTGAAAGACCGACAGTGCATCCCCTATGCTTCCACACCTTCCATACATGTCAATGAGCTTGTTTGCAACAAAGAGATCTACCTCCAAGCTAGGACGAGATCCATTATAGGCTGCTACTGGAAACCTCATCTTTCTGTTGGATGTGAAACCATCAAAATGCATCTTATACTTATGTATTATTAATTATCTTGGATACATAAGTATTCACTCCTGTTCTTTCTTACAAGTGAAACTTTGTGCTTATCTCAGGTGCTAAAATCATGTCCCAAATATATTATTAATGGCTACTTTTTTGGTGCCAGGGTAGTTTGACGAGCAGGCACATCGATCACATGATGGACACTCTCGGGCGCCAACTTGGCTACAAACACCACCAGACTGCAAAAGAATCCGAGGAGATAGAGCGAGCAGCAGGAGGAAGAGGTGAGGAGGAGGTGGAGAATTTGACAAAGTAATAAACTGAACTGCATTTCATAATGTCTCATGCTTCTCAATGGGCGGGCACTACGAGACTTAGATAGATATTATCTCATGGTGCTACTTTGAGGCTCCTCAGTTTGGAGATGCACTTATATCCTACGAGGCTTGTATTTGTTTTGCTATTTAACTTTGAGGCTAATGTTTAAAGAGGCATTTAGTTTATCTACTTCTGATATATTTGTATATCAGAAGACCCTTACTAGTTTTAGAAAGCACTCAAATTGGTTCATCTCATGCCTCATGCATACCAAGATGGGTTCATGATGGTGGTCCTTTCATAGTCAAGTTTTGGGTTTTTGGCAATCTACCTTTTATTTAAAATTATATAATTTCAAGCACCTTGGAAGGGCTAATATAGGAAATTTTCTGGTGTGATTAATTTTAGGAGTTCAGTTTTCTATGTGGGATTATCATCACAGACCATATGGATTAACAAATCATAAGAAGTCAAGGATATCTACCACCATGCAGGGCCTTTTACAAGTATTCTGTCAAGCTTGCATTGGTTATGAATGGATATATATTCATTCATTCACATGAATAAAATTGAAATTTACATATAGGTTGTTCAAGTAAACATTGTCAATCACTATCTTAATTGATTTTTGAAAATGATCTTAACTTAGTTTTATATAAGCATGGTAATCCACCATTATCAGCATGGGATTCTAAGACAAATCGAATAGAAATTTTTATTAAATATATCATAGTTCATAAATTAAAAAACAAGAATAAAGAAATCAGATATTTATTTTTGAAATAAATAATTTTTAAAAATTACTTTCTCATAAAATTATCTTACTTATTAAAACTCTAAAAAATGTGGTGATTGATATATTTATTTACATTTATAAAATAATTTGATCATAATAGTGCACATTCTTAATTTTAACCTTTAGTTGGTTATAAAAAAATACTAAATAACTATTGTTCATTTAACATTTTCCTTTAACTAAAGGCATCAACTTTGTGTTTAATTAGTTAAGGTTTTTATTATGTTTGAATATTATAAATATCAAATAAAACCTTTCTTTAAATTTAAAATTTCAAACTTTCTATTCCAATTATAGAAACTTTAATGAGATAAATGTATACTTTTACTTCAGTCAATAAGACCATTATCTGAGAGAATCTGCTTTAGGCAGGAATGTTGGAACACTATTCAATTGAGGAGGAAATATCCAATAATAGTTGCAACTAACAAGAGCATCAACATTCACCAAGTGAGTCAAGTAGTCAAAAGTAATAATGACATACTCATTGCTAGCTATTGACCATGGAAAAGGCCCCATCAGACTAAATGGCACAAACTCAAATGGATAGCATTACAACCCAAATCTTCAATAGCAAGCTGTAAGCTTATGAATTTGGACTTCCCAGGAGGTCACCCAACCCAGTACTATTCAAACCCAAAGACGCTTAACTCCAACTATCCCAAGACCCTTAACTGATTGGAAAAAGGGGTGCACTCTTGTTCATAAGCCCTTTCCCTTTATATTTGAACCCCAACAGATCGTCTCTCGAGTCGTTCCCTTAACCGATTGGAAAAGGGGGTGCACTTTTGTTCATAGGCCCTTTCCCTCTATATTTGAACCCCAACGGATCGTCTCTTGAGTCGTTCCCTTAACCGATTGGAAAAGGGGGTGCACTTTTGTTCATAGGCCCTTTCCCTCTATATTTGAACCCCAACGGATCGTCTCTTGAGTCGTTCCCTTTGGTTGCTTACAATCCACCATGCTTCCCTGCAAGTTCACGCCCTCGTGAATGGAAGCTGAGAGCCGCAGCTCTCCCGAGAGCCCCGCTCTCTTGACACCCTACCCCTCGGGTCGAGCTCAGTGGGAGCAAACTGGACCAGCCAGATGTTAATCAACATGTGGTGTGATTCCCCTAGCCAACCAACAGAGTTGGACCTGAGACTCCTCTGATACCAAATGTAAGCTCCTGAATTTGGACTTCCCGGGAGGTTACCCAGCCCAGTATTATTCAAACCCAAGGACGCTTAACTCCAACTATCCCAAGACCCTTAACCGATTGGAAAAGGGGGTGCACTCTTGTTCATGGGCCCTTTCCCTCTATATTTGAACCCCAACGGATCGTCTCTCGAATCGTTCCCTTTGGTTGCTTACACAAGCCTAGACAAAATGGTATAGCACTTCATTGCTATCCATCCCACAACTTGCCATTTGTAAGACCATTATCTCCAACATACATCAAGGTAGGGACTCTTAATTACATGATGTGAACACAAGCAATAAATTAACACTTCATTGCAAATCATCTCTCCAAAAAAAAAAAAAAAATTTATGTATTTGATCTTTCATCCCCAACGACTCTCTTTTCAGTCTTATATTTGACCAAACCTCAAGCTTGCTTTCACAATACCTTTAATTCGATTCAAGAAAAGTTTATGAGAGAGCACGGTAATGATTACTTGAACCAACAGACTAATCCCTATAATCTTGGTTGATCCACTTGTAATCATGCCTTTTACTTTTTCCCATAGTACATGGATAAACTCACGTAACCACTGGAACAACTCATGGAACCACTGATAGGCTAATATTAATCCTGCCAACTCAAAGTGTAACCTTGAGTTGCTAATGCGCCTCATTCACAAGCCCAAGCACAAACTTGTACTAATGTGCCTCACTCACTCACCCAAGCATAAATTTGTGCAAACGGAACATGTCATTCCATCCTATGAGCCCAAGAGCAAACTCATATAATATGATACAACAAAGTAACTAAATCCATACCCAAGGAACAATTGCAAAGCCTTTCCACCCAAACATGTACCCACTCGGATCATTGTTTTTATCTCTGCGTATGCAACAAAATTAATTGCCCAATCTCATTGGATAGTACTTGCTGAGACTCATCTTTTTGATACCAAATGTAGCACATGTGGTTTTTACCTTTTATCCTATAGTGATTTACCATAGGATAACCATGAAGCGGAACGTAAACCATCCATGTGTCACGTGTTATATGCCATGTGTCATATGCCACATGTCCAAAAGACAGTGGAGTGAAACCCGTGTTTCAGGACCTTGGGCCACTAAATAAAGGAATAGTGCCAAATTCCCAAGTATGGAGCCCAAGGAGCAAAGGGGTAGGAGTAAAGAGTGATTTAGAACAATCCTAGAGCAACCAACATCCCAATATTAGGACCCGCACACAAAATGGAGCTAAATAGAGTTTAGTGCTATTTTAGCATACTAGTGGTCTAATGCAAGGATATGAGTACTCCACCAGCTAACATGGTGTAGAACTTGGGCTTAAACCCAAACCAAACGTAGAATAAAGACAGGCACACAAGTAAGAGCTAAATTATACCTCATTATCCCTATTATACATTTGGAACCCTCTATAACCCCCCCCTGAGAAACACATGCTTTGGGCTTTCACCCCAAGCCTCCCTTAGTATCAGGAGTTAGTTTCTGGGACAAGCTCAAAACTTACTAAATATAGAATGTCTCTAGATTGTGAATTTGGACATAGGACGACACCATTGTGTTCAGGACAATCTCTACATTCCGTAAATATGCCAAATGAGTAAATCTGGACACTTTCCATAAATAGCATTTGTGACCGGAATAAGACTAACACAAAGGACATGATAGCGAGGGTGTTTGGCAAACACGGTAAGCTATCATCTAGCGATATTGAGGGATTAAATTCAATACACAAGGGTTCTTATCATTAAGCAATGCAAGATATAACGAGATGGGAACTCCTTACCAAGCTAAGTATGCTTAGCTAATAGTACTTAGAAATTCCATCCTTATGCTCGTCCGGTCTACGTACACTCGAAATGCCTAGTTAACTCCACTAACACAAGAGGGATTGATAAAGGGTCTAACAATACTGACCTCTAGTTGTCGTGGCAATAAAAAAAGAGTGTCCATAAGGATTAGCCGACATGTAACTTTCGATACCCGAAATCACATTCGCGACAGGGAAGATTGACATCCTCGTCAATGCATACTCTAGTCTAAAATACTGCCAAGAAAACAACTCCAAAAATAGTTCACAGTATTCACATTATGTGAAAAATGCACCAACTTAAATGAGTTATAAGGCAACCTCTATGCCTAATGCAAATGCCCTACCCACTTAGACACCTTCCAGCTGTCACCGACAAGGAAATGACCAATAGAGTTAACCACCCATGCTGCTCTAGGTGTCACCTAGCTTACAAAAGTGTGATATGCCCCTGCGTACAGGGATATAGAGAGAGAAGCTAAGGGCCCCAACCCTCATGAGTAAAGAAACTAAACCTGTCGGTAAGGTTTAGGTAAACTACTGTAAACAAGTAGTTAGAGTTTTTTATATCGTCACGCCCTTTTAACGGAATAAGGAACATCGACAGAAAAGTGGGTGATGTGACCAGTCGACAATAGCTACCCCATGACTAAAGATTTCACCATGCACATGAAGTGCTGAAGCCAGTTTGCCTATACTGGCCCAAACTCAATGATCAATAATTGAACAATATCAAAGGTATAGACAATGATATTTTAGATACTTAATTATCAGTGAATATATCTTAGATGAGAACACAAAAAGTATTCCAAATAAATTATCATCTGATAAACTAGTATTAGAGTCCACCAAGATCTTCATAATTGGTAAACATAGGAATCACC